CACTTGGGAGAGCGACGCCTCTTGCTTGACGTGGCGTGAAAACCGTCCCCACGGGCTCTCTCCCAACTCTCCAATCCAGACCGTTGCCTCGACCCAAGTCGTCGGTATCGGCTCTCGTTTCGTTCCTCGCTTCGTTTCTCGCTTCGTCTGACACGGTCCCCTCGTAGGTTTGCCAACGACCAACTCCCGTCTCCCCAACGAACGATCCGACACTTCTCACCACATTCTGACGCCAGACACCATGTCCGCCACCACCATGGTTGCCGCCGACGACAGTCCCTCCGATGCCACTCGTTCAGTTCACACCCGCAACACCAAGGGCGGTCGACGACTTCATTATGAATTGACCTGCCTCCAACAGCCCGAGCGCGCGAGAGCCTGTGGCTCCGGACAGAAGTGTAAGTTGGACATTCGGTGCGTTGTTGAATGAACTTGGCCGCTGACAGGGGCAATCCAGCCGCCGCCGACCGTCGACCTGTCGACCCGCCACCCGTTGTTCAGCTTCGCGTTCTCGAGGGCCCTACCCTCGAGGACAGCAAGGACATCACTCTCGGCTACAACGCCAACTTCTTCGTCTACGTTGACTTGCAGCATGCTCGCCCCATCGCCAATGGTCGCGTCCAGACGCCGGCTGCCACGACGCCTCCGGTCCTGACTGGCGCCCCCGTATCTGGCATGGCATACCTCGACCGCCCTGCTGAGGCTGGCTATTTCTTGTTCCCTGACCTGTCAGTCCGTCACGAAGGCCGCTACGTCCTCGGATTCAGTCTATACGAAGAGCTCAAGGATGAGATGGATCAGGACGCCGACCCCGTGGACGACGACTCTACCCCCGGATTCTACCTCCGCATGAAGGTCCAGTCTGCGCCCTTTGTTGTCTTCAGCGCGAAGAAGTTCCCTGGCCTCACGTCCAGCACCACGCTGAGCCGTACCATTTCCGAGCAGGGATGCAGGGTTCGCATCCGCCGCGATGTGCGTATGAGGCGCCGCGACGGAAAGCCTTCCGGCGGTGACTACGAGAAGGAGGAGGAGGCCGCCCGTAGCAGGAGGACACAGACGCCCGACATTCGCAAGGATCAGATGCGTGGTCGATCCGTGAGCAACAGCAGTGAACAGCGTGCCCCATATTCGGCCGTGTCTGAACGCCGCCCTTCCGAGATGGATGCCTATCCAGCGCCCCCACCGCCGCCACCGGCCCCCATTACCGTCCCCATTGCCCACTCCCGCTACGGCTCTGACGCATCCAGCAACGGCTACGCACCACACCACATTCAAACCGCCTCTCAACCGCCTCCCGTTTCGCCCACATCTGGTTACCACAGCGGACAGCCTTCGCCGTACGCCACCGCTCCGCCCGCTGGATTCGGCTACCAGTCGCGCCCGGCACCGCACGCGTACAGCTCATCCGGCACCACACCCACTACGCCCCGGGACGCGTACGACCGCCGCCCCTCAGCTTTCGTGCCCCCTTCACCCTCTCACGCCCAGTTTGCCTCGCACGAGATGGACTACAGGAGGGATTCCGTCTACAAACAGGAACTGCCGAGGGCCGCGGAGTCGAGGAGAGACTCGCTGACCCACATCGCCACGAAGCGGGATACGCCCAGAACACCCATCCCCGAGACTTTCACACTGCCGCCTATCCTCTCTGGTCGTATTCCTGGACCGTCCGGTCTGGGCAGCCTCGTGAAGTCAGCTCTGATGTCAAACGTCATCGAGCCGGCCTCGCCTGTGCCACAGGTAGTCGCACCGTTGGCTCACGCCGGCTCCAAGCGTGGATACGCCGATACGTTTGTCGAGAATCAGCAGAGCGCGCTGCGCGACGGACAGCGCCCGCCTGACAACCACCAGCAACCGGGCAGCGCGGACCACGACCCGCACGAGGATCCGGACAAGATGTACTACAAGCGTGCCAGCGGCATCATGGCGTTCAAGTACACGCCTATTTTCACAAAATGATGCAGCACCTTGTGATGCGACACCTTGTGATGCAGCACGCGACGAGTCGCGCGTGCCGGGTCGCCGGAGCGGAGGGTCACATAGGCCATAGCTCACGGCGACGATGCAACGCTCCTTGCACGTATTTTCTCACGAGTCGGCTACGATGTATATACTCGATCCCCGAGAGGGATATCCAGCAACGCACGCGGAGTTTTCTCATGTTGGTCTAGTTTTATTCTTCTTCACATACCCACGCCGCCCTCTTTACCCTTCCTTTCTATCCGCTTCCAAATTTCCTTGCGTTTCCCTTGGCAAAAGCCTCACTTGAGGCCATTCGTATACCATGGTTGGTTTTCCTATGTCGGGGCCGAAGGCGGCGGGGAAGAGGGCAGCCCATGGCCGCCGCAGGCATTTTCAGATCAAGCATCATGAGAAGTGTGCTTGCGGAGATTCAGATTGGGGTTACAGCGGAGTCGAGGACACGAGGCGGGCTATACATGGCCTCAGTCTTCGAGGGTTTCTGGGTGTACTTGCTATGGGCATGGTAGGGTCTGTCTTTGCTCGTGTGTACTGGTTGTTTTGGTTGCGCTGCGCAATGCATTCGGAACATGAATGAACTTTAAACATGCGGTTTCCACGGGTATGATGATATATGACATGCGATTCCCACGATGTGTGTGTGGCGTCATTGTAAAGAAACAACAGTGTTCTCGTGGCCTTCTACAGGTAGGTAAGGTACCTACCTACCTAAGTGGGGGAAGGGGGGTTGTCTCGGGTGCAAGATGTGATGGGTTGAGTAGTGCATCTGGGGCCATGCAGGTAAGATGAGGGCGAACGAGCTGTTTCCCCTCTCCCCCCAGAACAGCCCCAAGAGCCCCTGAAAGGTGCATGTGGACTTCGCGGTGCAGAGACACGTGCTGCAAGGGAGAGAGATAAGGAGAGTGAACATGAACACTGGTCACGTGGGTTGGCGACCTGATGAAGCATAGTGTGCGGGACGCGTTCCTGGGTCGATCCTGACTGTTTTGTCCAAGCGCGTCGACCGGAGCAACGACTTGGCTTGTCAAGTGCCCCCTCAAGCCCCTCTCCCCTCTCCCCTCCCCTGGACCGCGTCGTTCCTGCCGCTACCGCAACGGTCTGACCGCTAACGGGCAGGAGAAGCAACAAACTCCAGCAACCCCACGAAGGACAAGGAGAAGGAGAAACCGCCGTGTGTTGTTGCTCTTTGTCGCGCTCCCCCCTTCTCCAGACAAGACACAACACGCACGATACGACGAAACCACTCTTCTGGTCTTCGTCTTCTTTTTCCTCCCCTCATCCATTCCCTTACCCGCCAGCATTTACTTGTTGCTCTTGCGTTTCTCACGCAGGTCCCATCAGCATTCTTCGATTCGCTTTGAAGTGGGGGAAGAAGCTTGGGCGCGATCCATCGTCAATGCGACCGCCAGCTTGCGAGTAAACAAAACAGCTGCTTATAGGTATGCCCTCTCAGTACATTGATTACTTCAATGTTGTTTTTGCGGGCACGATCTTTCTCATGCGGGCTACCTGTTCTTCTCTTGCTTTCTCTGTTCAACGCTGCACCATGTCTACAATGCCTCCGCCGTTCAAGCTGATCAGTTCCTTCCAGTTTCGTCATCGCCGCCACTACGATCGCCAGCATCACACAACCATGGCGCAACCCGACCGGTCCCGACCGGGCCCCCTCAACTCCCACCCCGTCTTCTCCCCGAAGAAGCCCCTCAACAGAGCAGACAAGTCGCATGACTCCAGTTCAAGCTCCGGCTCGGGCTCGGCGCCGCGATCGCCCACTAAGGCTGGCTCGCGCTTCCAAGAGGGTTCTATGAATGACCGTGCCTCGGCTGTCCCACCTCTGAGCTTCATTGGCACCGAAGCTGATTTTGAGCGTCGTATCCGCCTCGACTATCCTGGCCGACACGGCGCCGCGTCGGCCCTCGCTAGCTCTGTCCAGCAGCAGCAGCAGCAGCAGCAACAGCAGGCCCACAACCAAGATGACCAGCGACCTGCCAGCGCGGCCGGTAGTTTCATTGGCACCAGCGGCAAGAAGGGCTTTTGGGGCGGATTGAAGGAAAAGCTCAGCTTCTCGAGAGACAGGAACGCCAACGGGACTAAGAGACCCGTAAGCCTCGACTCCAAGACAACCACACCCGCAGGCATGGCTGCTTTCCCAAGTCTCGACATGGGTAGCGATGGCAAGATGCCCAGCCGAGAGGAAATCACTAGGAACTATGAGCAACTCATGCAGAACGGCTTCTTCGCTTCGCACGCCATCCAGTCCACACGTCAGCCACCGCCTGGCGCTGCACCAAGAGTGTCTGCTCCCTCGACCTCTGCTTCCGTCCAGCCCCCTCTTGGAGCCTCGTTCGCATCACGCATGGCTGCGCACCAGGAACAGCAGCAACAGCAGGAGCAAGAGCAATGGCCTCTTTCGGCCAATGCGTCGCCCTCGCGCGGCACGAAGCGCAATCACTCCCAGGACGATGACAACGACGACTCCTCTTCCTTCAAGAAGCTACGCAAGTCTGCTTCGCGCATTGGCAACGAATTACCCCTCCACCGCCTGCGCCCAAAGCGCTCTCATCAGGGCCCCGTCTCCTCTTCGACCAACATGCCCCCACCTCCGGCGCCCTTTGGCATCAACACGCGCCGCACTTTCAGCTCCTCTTCGAGGCGCGAGACGAACCGCCTTGCGAAGCGTCAGATCTCCAAGTCGGCCATCTCGAACCCCATACCCGTGGACGCTTCTTCACGCATGAGCATCGACTCCGGTGCCCCGTCCTTCGCCTCGTCGAGTGATGGGCAGGGAGGCGGCTCCTTCGCAGAAGCCATGCGCTGGTCCCACCCATCATCGCGCTCGGAGGACACTGCTGCCACCGCTGGACTGCGTATCCGCCCGGACGCGAACCGGGGGATTCCCGTCGTCCCGCGCATTCCCGATCAGTTTAAGTCGCGGCCTGGGAGCGCTTTTGGCGAGGGTGCCGAGAACAGGATCCCGCAACCCATCCAGGGACGTCGACGCTGGTAGAACTAGCCAGTCCGGAGCGGTGCAGCCCGGGGTGTGTTTGCGGGCACGATGCGCACATGACTTTTCCGACACATGACGACACATGACACGTTCACGCACTCGGTCACGAAGAAAACAACCATGGAACAACGGATACGAACACACGAATTGTATGATACACCTCCCATTTCTTTCCCCTCTCGGTTGGGTTCTAGGACGGCGCGGCATTTGGAAAAAGGAGCGGAGTTTTTCGGACCGGACAGGGCTGCGCTGTAGGAGGCTGGACGGGCCAGCCTCGTTTCTTACGCATCGATTCTTGAGCATGAATGGAATGGCTCCCGGTACTTGTTTGGTTTATTGGTTTTCCCCCCTTTCTTCTCCGTTTCGCTTGAGTAAAGAAAGGTACGGGTATCGCTGGCCGAGGCATCTTTCCTGGCTTCGGTTCTCGGAGCCCTCTGTATGAATGATGAACACGTTCTATGGCTGCTTCGTTTCTGTGTTGTGGCAGTGCTGTGCTTCTGCCATGTCCCTTGAGCTTCTTGAAGTCGAGGCCGTGACTCGGATGGGTTTGCTCGTTTTTGCATGCAGTGTCAAGGTGTGAACTGACTTTGACGTCCGCCTACACGAAAACGCTTCGGTTAAGCCCATGGCGTCTGGGTCAATGGCAGACAGGCCGTGTCTTCATACTCGACGACGGCAAGCTGCCCCATGGCTCTGCTTCCGGCTGGATCAATGCACGGAGATGTATCGACTGCGGCAGGGACTCGCCGCTTTCCGACTGACTGCGTCTTTCTGGCTTCATGTCGAGGACTTTGGCCCGATGCCTGCGCGGATGTCCGACTCTCCAGCTCTGCGGGCGTTTAGGCCCTGGACCGTGCCAGTCCCATAGTGTACACGACGGCGAACATCACGGCAGACCGAGACAAAAGTCAAATACGGGGGCACGTCTTCCATCACCAAAATCATGTCTCATTGAAATCTGGATTCGCAACGTCAAAAGTCGCTTGGTGTCTCCGTCCTCCTCTTGACACGCAGAGCGACGAGGAGAGAAGAAGAAAAAAAGAGGTTGGAAAAAGAACACAAAACGGCAAGAGAGACTATATAATATGTACTCCGACATGGAAGAGCACCCTGATCGTTAAGTACACCTCGATAAGAAGTCGCCCCCGGCGCTGCTTGTAACCCCAATCCCAGCCCTGTTTCCGCGCACGTGTAGAAAGAATGATTGTTTAAAAAGTAAAGAAAGGTGGAGGCGGGAGGGGAAAGGACCCTCGTCCCCGTGACGTCGCCTTCCCTCGATCGCCCGTTCCTGCCAGGCTCAACCCGGATCCCTGCGCGAGACCCCAGCCAGGTAGCCAGGGAAATTTCAGGAGCAGGGGATCAAAGGGTGACCCGACAAGACGGAAGAATGAAGAGAAGAGCGGTGGACTGTCGAATAAAAACGTTGAGCATGTGAAGACGCCTAGCAAGTGTTTGGTGCTGGTTGTTGTTACACCAGTCTAGTCAAAAGAGAATGTCGTTCAAATCGATGCCCAGCTGGACTGTTGGGCCAGCGGACGGTCGGAGAGGTATATGTAGCAAATGGTCGTTAAAAAAGATTTCATGCCGTCAAACTCGATCAATCAGAGCACCTCAACGACGCGGTCCCGGAGGTTGCGGGCGGCCTCAGGGACCTGCTGCGCGGGCACCGAACGAATCATGGACCACGCCGTGGCGAAATGTTCGGGGAAGCGGATGTACAGCATGGAAGCCAGTAGCACTGTCAGAAGCGGAATCTGATACTTGTTAGCGTTCTTCCTTTGTTATTTTAGTTCAGCATCATTACATACCCAGATAAACCAGAGGTTCTTGTCGCTGCGGATGCCCTTGAATTTGGCGGCATGAGCCCGCAGGAAGTCCTGCTGTTGCTCCTTCGTCATGGCCTTCTTCCGGCCAATCATGAGTGCCTTGGGGACAGGCGCTTCGCTCGTGGCGGCCTCGCTCGTTTCCTCGATGGCCTCAGCGGTCGCCGTGTCGAACAGCTTGGCACATTTCGCGTCAGCTTCCGCCTCGGCGGCAGCCCCCGCAGCGGAGGCCTGCTTCTTATCAAGGGCGTCTTGCGGGTACAGTTCTGTGTAGGCAGGCGGGGAGGCCGTGTTGTTGTTGTTGTTAAGAAGCGACGAGAAGTCCCACCATTTGCCATCCATGGCCTTTGGCGTTTCGTCACCAGCTGATCCAGGCCGAGAGCCCGACATGCCCTCCATGAAGGATGTCATCCGACCCATGAGCGGGTGCTGGTGCAGGTACTGTTGGTAGTCTGGTAGCATGGACATTCGCGGGAAGTTGGGCATTTGAGGCAGGTTTGGCATCTGCGACATGTTGGGGAAGTGCATAGCCATCGCCTGCTGAAACTGGTGAAGCTGCGCCGATACCTGATCTCGCACCGCTGCTGCCAGGGCCGTGGTCGGTGAGCCCGGCACTCGTTGCAGCTCATCTCGTTCCTCTGACAAACTGTCTCTTTCAGTCGGTGCTCCATATGCGTGTGTGCTTGATCGGCGCATATTGAGCCAATTATCCTCAGCCTCGTCTTCCGATTCAAAATCACCAGAGGAGTACTCGGGGCTCTCCTCTCCATCGCCAGGGTCGTCAGACTCTTCCGACACAGCGTGTGGGTCCCAGAGAGATCGCAAAGAGGCGGCACTGCTGGCTCGGCTGTGTAGAGAACCTCCACTACGAGAACGAACGTGACGCTCGCAACGGCGGATGTGTTCGATGACCTTGCGCGAGCGAGCAACATCAGCGGGCCGAAGCCCAGACAAGCTTCTGATTGTGGGGTCTGCGCCAGCCTGCATCAGTCGCCGGACAATAGCCTCGTGGTCGTTGATGGCGGCCATGTGCATCGGTGTAAAGCCGCCCTTGTCGCGGAGATCGGGGTTGGCGCCGCGCGCGAGGAGACCTGCAACAAAGCGGTGATAACCAAGCGAGCATCCGAAATGAAGCATGGCCTGGCCCGTATTCCTCCTGAGATCGAGACGAGGCATCCTGGCACTGTCATCGAGATCAATCAGTTCCAGGCACTTAAGCAGCTGCGACTCAGTACTCGTGCTGTACGTGTTGCCACCACCGAAGCCGCCGCCTGAAGAGGATCCGCCGCCCATGCTGGACCAATCCATGTCCTGGGGGCCCATGATTCGTTGCGCAAGCTCCCTCACGTCCAGAAGTTGACCCGTCATCTTTTGTGAGATCATGCCAATCATCATCCTGGCGAGCTGTGCTTCTTCGTCGTCGGTGTATCGGAAGACCTGATTGGGGTTCGGCTTGAACGGCGGCGACTGTGCCTGGGATTGCTTGAGGGAAACGGGAACAATGCCAGGCCTCGACGCCGGAGGCAAGAGACAGACCAATGAGGACTCGCCCCAGAAGGTTGTCGTCGTAGCCTTGTGCTCGCCAAAGTACACGTCCAGCCCTTGGAAGAATCCACCACCAAGAATGGTCACCTCGATACCACCCATCTTGGGCCCCTCCCCTGGAATAATCTTATGGATGGTCGGTTGTGGTCGGCTTTGGCTCTGACTGCCGGGAAGGAAGGTCATGCCATTGATCAGGCCATGCGCCATGGGTGTTTGCGGCACACCACCGAGGCTTTGCCTCAGAGAATTGGGACTCGGCGCACGGCTGGGGTGCGCCGAGGTGGGCGCAGAGAACATGGTCATGGCAAGGTTGTCCATGCTGGCCGACCGCGCGGCGTTGCGAAACATGTTTTGATCGCTGATGTTGTTGGGCGTCGTCGGGCCGGTGGCGAAAGGCGGAGGGACATTCTGCACGGCGCCGGTCTGTGCGAACATGTTGTCCGGCATCTGGAGGTTGAGTCCCAGGTTAGGTGTGAAGGGCGATGTAGAAGCTGGCGCAGTGGCTGGCGCCTGGCTTGCAGATGGTTGTGTCCCGGGCGGGGGCGAGGTGTCGAGTCTTGTCATGGCCATTTCCATCGGCACTCGGGGCCCGCCCGCCTTTCGCTTCTTCGAGGCAGGTCCCATGTTGGACAAGGACGGAGATGCAGGTCTTGAAAGGGCAGGGACGCTGGGCGCAGAAGCCGGCGGCGTCTGGTGTTTGACGACTGGTGGGGGCGCAGGAAGTGGAGGAGGCCCAGGTAATTGAGTTGAACCATTCCGCCTCAAACTTTGCAGATCTGAACTCGACTGCGATACCCGAAAGGGAGCAGGCGTTGACAGGGGGCTCGTTTCGAGCGGGGCGTTGACCATTGGCACAACCGAGTTCTCCTCACCCTGAGAACCGATGGCGTTGAGGGTCTGCGGTACCGGATGTGTCTTGTGATCGTCCGTAATCATGATGGAATGAGACATCTCCTGCGCCACGACACGATCCTGCCAGTCTTTGATGGTGAAGACAACCCGGAACCCCATCTTCTCGGCGTGATGTCGACAATAGCAGGCGATACGCATCGGAGCGTCCACTTGCAGGGCTCCTGCAGGATACTGAGGTTCTGGCGGGCCTGCAACCGCGGGGTCTGCAGGGGTGGCACTGGGCGGTTGCCATTCCTTAATCTCATTTGTGTTGAAGACGATCACTCGTCGATTCTCATCCTTCTTCCACATTTCCTCTTCTTCCACCTTCTTAATCTTCTTTCGTCCGGCACGCTTGCGCTCTCGCGTGATGCAACCCTGGCAGATGCGTACCTCGCCACCGTTTTGTGGCTTGTCCTCCTCGTTACTGTCTTCGCTGGCAGACCTTTCGTTGAGCGAAGGATGTGGATGAGAGGCGGCAGCAGCCCGCTTGAATGCCCGTTGCTTGTTATCTCCGACGAGCATGGCGCTGGTGCAGACCAATTGAGTGTAGAGTTCAAGCATATCGGGCGATCGTTCAGAGGGTGACTTGGCCAGCAGTTTCGGCTTTGATATTGTGTGCGTGGGCAGGTGCAGCCGCTTGACACCTGGTGGCGCTCCGAGAAGAGTCATCTTGATAGGGATCTGCGTCTCAACTCGCGACTTGGTCGGTGTTGGGTGAATGATGAGCTTGCAGTGGTACGGCATGGGGTTAAACCCTCCCTGAGCAAACAACATCTGCTGCATCAGCTGAGGGTGGAACTGTTGCATCATCGGGAAACCCGGGGGCATGGCATGGCCGCCATCGACTTGAGGCCAGAATGGGTGGCCGACGGCGGCGGCGACATGATTGGAGAAGTCGGGTTGGTTGGTTGGCGAGGGGGAGTTATTGAAGAAGTTTGAAGGCGAGGCTTGCTGGCTGGCGACGTTTTGTGACAGAGGAGATACCTCGCGGGAAGCAGACATGTGCAGTCCATGCATGGGTTGTGTGAGGGGGAATTGCTAGCGATTGGTTAGGCTCAACGTTCGTAGAGTGATTGGACTGTGAACGGAGAGATCTCTGCCAGGTTATTGGCGATGCCGGCCACCACCACACAGAGCAAAAACACATCAACAGAGCTATTCAACTCACAGATTTTTTCCTGGGTGCCTGGCTCTTTGATTTGCTGGGGGTTTGGCTGTTGTGAGGAATGTGTGCCGTCATGGTGGGCATGTCGGGGGACGCAAGGTTCGTTGCGGCATTGTTGGCTGCCTCGGGGCTGCTCGACGCACTCTCAAAGTCGAAAGAATCGTTCATGAAGTTGTCGTCGGTGGGTAAATCGAAGTTGTCACCCATGACAGACGAGGGCATGTTGGAGCCAAAGATAAACGTGCCATCGTCAGAGCCTTTGGAAAAGGAAGCTGAGTTCCACTCCTTTTTGATATCATTTCCATCGGTCATTATAATGTCGCCGGCGGTCAGAGCAATCTTTCCGGATGCTGAGCTGCCTGTTCTCTTTGAAGAGCCCGAATCGGAGGAGGAGTCGCGAAAAGAATCGTTCAACGAGTCAGGAGATTCGGCGGCAGCAATGTCGCGGGCGCCGAGTGTCGAGGATGCCGTCGTGGGGTTGTGCAGGGCTTGTGGATTGAAGCCGCTGAGCGATTGATCTTTGGACAAATCGAGGCTCTGGTGAAAGGGGCTCGTTACGGCGGCGGCGGCGGCGGCGGCTATTGTGTCGTCGTCGTAATCGAAGAGATCGCTGAAATCGCCCGTTGCAGACATGTCTGTGCCAGCGATAAAAGGGCTGGCACCGGCACCGGCACCGGCACCGGCATCCGTCATAGCCAGGAGCGACAATGAGGATCGATGGGGCGGCTTGTCAGGCTGTCGAAGGATCGTAATCGCGTCGAAAGTGGTGGTGTTGTGGTGGTGATAAATTGGAGGGGAGGTGATTGATTGACAGGAGAAGTCGGTCGCGGTCGGGGTGAGGAAGGCTCAGCGAGAGTGCTGTGTCGAAGCGTCCAGGGTTGGGGGGGGGGGGGGGGGGGGGGGCTTCTTGTGGAGAACAGCCAGGTGATGTTCGCGGATTGAGTGGTTCACATCTAGTCTCGCACTCTGTGCGAGAGAGTTGGGAGAGCGTCTGTGTGTAGGGGTATGGGAGAGAGACCCTCAGAGATGAGCGACCAAAAAGACGCCCGCTGGCTGGGCTGCACTGGGATGCGCTGGACTGGCAGGCTGGCTGGGCAAAAGAGCGGGGACGTCCCACAGTGTTGACAGTTTTGGGGGATTGATTCTCAAGGCTGGGCTTCACGCGTGGCCTTGAGCTGATCTGACGCAGGGAGCGTGAACCCGGTAGGATGAAACGAACTGAAGAAAGAGTCGAGCAGCTGCCCTACCTAGGTAGGTAGATGCTGGCAGGAATAACATTCAAGGCCAAGGCTGTCGTCCTGGGTGGATTCTGAGGGATTGTCGACCACGAGTGCGGCGTCGCTCGTGGTCAATGGCGGCTGGAACGTTGGTGCGTGGTACCTGGCTTGGTGCGCTCGCTGTCCTCCAGAGGGCCAAGGGGCGTTGCGAGTCAAGACGGTGAAGGTCAGTGAAAAAAGCCGTATTGGAGGGCGACAAGCGGTTATAGATGTCTCAGAAGGCCTGTCTGTTGCAGGGCTGGGCAAGGGTCGCCAGCAATTGGGAAGAAATTGATCCTTTCAGATTTGGATTCAGGGCACAGAAGAGTCAAGACGTGCTCGACAGAATCAGGTCAAAGAATGGCGAATCCTCAGGTCTGCTGCTCGCTGTCCCAGATACAAAAGTGTGGGCCATTTTGCCATAAGGCCAGATTAGCTGGTCATCATAACACACTCTGTCCAGGTGGTCATTCCGAATATGTCTGCCTGCCTGCCTGACTTGCCTGACTGACTGCTTGCCTGCGTGGTATAGCCCTTGAGGGGCTCAGTGGGAGGGATGGCAAGCGCTAGGGAAAGAGCTGGGCTGGGGCTGGGGAAACGAAGGATACTGGCAACAACTTTCGCTGGATTGAGAATGGAGGTGAGCCTGGTCGTGACGGTGGAACTTGACGCTAGGGGAACCGGATTACCCATGGTAGGTGGAGCCACAAAGGTAGCGTGCAGTTGCATCTGTCTGTCTGTACCTATGCTTGCGCCTGCGCCTGCGCCTGCGCCTGCATTTGCGTCTGGCAAATTATTTCCTGTACACCCGAGGTGGCTGAGCGAAGCAAGTGGGAGGTAAATCTCCTCAATTGGCACAGGGTTGGTTTCTACGCCATCTGATTCGTCCTCATGCTGTTGAGATTTCCAAAGCCAATCATGTGCTTTGTATTTGTGTGGCGCCCCTCCAACAGATTCGATGCTAAGAGACGCGTGGCGGTCGGTCCTGCCATCAACACGTCGTTGATACAGTGTCATCGGGTGTCTATGTACAGTGCAGATTCCAGCCATCTGGGCCGGAAGAGGGCCTGGACACGGTGCCACTGGCCTGACTCACCATTCCCTTCCTTCTGGACATGAACCTACCCGTACCTACCGACCGACCTACCTAGCAGCTAGGTACCTACGTAGGTAGGTAAGGTAGGTACGAGGTAGCTGAAAGAACCTGCTGTCCGCTCCTCTTCGTCTTCATTCCCTGCCAAACCAATGCTTCACACACACTCACACCTACATACTTACATACCCCACCTTCACGCACTTCCCAACGTTAACCCGTTTGAGCCTCAATTCTGCAGGACACGGAGGGTTTTGTATTTCGGCTGCCTAGGGATCACCCTCGTTCGCCCATCAACTCGTCCATGCTTACAAACAGTCTCAACAGATATCCAACACCAGTAACCTCGCTCATCCATCCATGTCTATCAACCACTGTGCACACGTTGCAGTACACAAGACCCAATCCTGATTCTTTTCATCGATTCAACGATTACGGGACAAACCCCTGATCATCCACAAGCCATCCATCGCCTCTTCCTCCGCCTGAATATCAGAGATTGAGATCAGCCACGCCTTGCCTTTGCAGCAAATGGGCCCTGCTAGGCTCTGCACCGTTCTTGTTGCGATGGACAGCGCCATCTCGTTTGCTTGCTCCATCTTCCATCGCCGCTATCGCAATCAGAAACTCTCGTGGTACCCAGACGTTGGAATATGCCCGACCCTGTACCCTTTCCACCCGCCCCAAAGCCCTGCCCTGCCCTGCCAGCAACAGTACACCTTTCCGGGCCGCTGCTAGGCCCATCATCGGCGGAAAACGGCCTCGTCCCACCTCCGATGGTGTACGACCTGCAGCACACACTCCAGCCACCATCGCACCTCCGTCTCCGTGATAGGGCTCCCGTCATGCTGCCGCCAGGAACAGGCGTCCTGTCGGCGCAACGCTCCTCGCCGGCCTCGTCCGTCTCTTGCCTCTACCCCCTCTTTCTTTCGCCTCAAATCGTGGTCTTGAGCGTTCGTGCCCTTGAATACACCGAGGTACATGTTGACTGGTTGCGAATCTGTGTATGTTGAACTCCAGGCAATAGAGAGAACTCGGGCCCTCCTTCCGAGTAGGTACCAATGGGCAATAGTTTGCCATCTGGCGTCGCTGAGGGCGTCGAGGACGTCGGAGCTGCCCTGCATCCGGTGGATTGATCAGTGACGACCCCCACAACCGATACTGAAGATGCTGTCTGTGAACGGGGGTATGTGGAGGAATGCGAGAGGCTCCTCCGGCTGGCAAGCTGTTGCAGCTCGACCACTGACTAGCCTGTTCTTCGGACCATACACATTGTGTCTTACCTTTTGACGCGAATTCAGAGTTACCTCGCTGAGTATGTGTCTTGCGCGTGTACGACCCCGAAAGTCTCAGGCTCGACGTCCAGACCGAAAATCTCCCCTGCTAGCACAGATCAGGCTCGTTACACAGACAAATCCTAGACCGTGGCCGCATTCCTCTCTCGCTCTGTCGCCATTGTCTCTCCCAGACCAGCGCCCACCTCCCCCGCCCCCTTCTTGCATCAGGACCAAGAGGCCCGCCCTCTGCTACATCACCCAGTCTAGAACCTCGTATCCCACTCGGCCTGCATCTGATAGTAGTGTCCGCTTAGCATAGTCGCGGTGCCTTGCCCTGCAGCCACTTTCGAATCGGGCAACTGTCAGTGACAAGGCAGTGAGAAGGCCATTGTGGCCAATGACACCATGATGAAGCGTTATGTTCTTGTTTTCTCCTTGTCGCCATGTTACTTGGCGCCGAGCAACTATATCCCATCATGTCGGCCCCGTCATCTGCGGCCCCGCACCGCCGATCTCGACGTATTCCGCCGTCCGGTCAACCGAATGCCGGATGCTCTGACTTCCTTCTCCACAGGCACAGGGTACGCAAGAGAGCCCCCAGCGCTCGTCTGCTTTTTGCTTTCCGTGACGTAGGGTACTGTGTTCTGCTTTTTTTTTTCTATATTGTTTTGTTGGCGTTGAGACTTCTGGAGGCCTGAGCTGAGCCTGTCTCAACCTGATTGGGTTGTCCAGTCAATGTCGTTCTCTTCGGCTTGCAAAGGGTCATCAAGGTACTGACAAGCAATGCACCCTATGATACCTTAGGCGAAGGGGAATGTGGACCTGAGGGAGGAGGCTTCAAGTCAGCCTTCCTTTGGACGACCAAGTGCTACCTCAACTCCCCCGCAAAGAGACATTCTGATGAGATGGGGATCTAGATTTCGACCCTGCCATCGCCCTGGCCAGTGACGCTATCTCATTGCCGCCGGACCCGAGGATGCTAGAGCGCCACGGGAAGGTAGAGAGACCGTCTGCCTGCCATGTCTAGTCTCCAATGACGCGGGCCACCGGGCCCTATCCGCTCAACATCCACCAGCCATATAGGCCGTCAAGTCAAATGAGGGGGCTTGGCGCATAAGTGGCACAATCACCGCGTCTTCTGTATTGCGAATGCATTGCCCAGAAAGGCTGCTCTGGAACTGTTGAGAGACGCACAGACAGATGACAGTTGGGTGTTATTTTTTCCTAGCTGGCGTTCCGCGACCCCGTGTGCGACTTGGCACATGTCTGGTTGCTGCCTACCTTTGCTCGGCAAGCCACGATGCGCCTGCACGTGTGGTCTGATTGGTTTTGACGGGAGAGGGGGGCTGGCAATGAATTCAAGTACCTACCTAGCAAGCCTAGGTATGTAGCCAAGGCCCATGCGACACGAGGCAGGCGGGCTGGCAGTCCATGGCCAATGTCCCTGTGTTCTTGCAATTGGAGGCCTTGGCTTCTGGTGGACTCCCCTCTAAGTGGCATCTCACAGCGTTGTGCTGAATGATCAAGAAATGAATGCCTTGCCTAACGTCATCATGACTTGATCGTATGCTTCAAGAACCTCGACATCTCCGGGCGAATTGTTGATCAAGCTGACTGAAGCGGGGGCCCCTGATGCACGGTCTGCGAAATCGAAATGCAGGTCGTCAACGGTAGCAGATGATTCGCCCTTACGGTTGTATTTACTGTGAGTCAACCATTTGACTGTAAGCTTCTTGAAAATGAAATCTGTCAAGACCAATACGTTGTTTCGTGCTCGTATACAGAGTCCTCAGACCAATTGGGAGAACAGGATGGGATATGCAATAAAATGAGGGTATGCGTCGGGCGAGGGCATGCAGTATTGAGGGTTCACCAGATATCCATTTCTCGACTTCTCTTTTTAACCAATACAACAACCAACTTTGAACCCCCATCACTTATGCGATCTCTGCTGGCTTCTCGGCAATTCTTGTTGATTTCCATCTCTCCAATGATTATCAGATAAGAATGCGCCGTAATCGGCGTGCATGCGGTAAACAAAGAGATGAAACGGCAAGGACAGACGGGTAACTCGCAATTGGTTTATCTCGCGGCTTTTCAACGATGCCGACGGAGGAGAGAGGGGGGGGGTGTTGTGTTACCCAAAAGCTCTCTATTCCGTGACTTGATATAGGTAGATAGATGACTGTTGCAGTCATGCTTTGCTATTGTGCTGTGTATCCTTTGTGCATTCGTCATGCGATTCATACTCGTCACGAGGCGATGGAGGACGCGTGACGGAGCATTCGCAGCACACATGCGCGCACGGGCGAAAAAGGGAGAACCAGGGGCGAAAGTTGCGCCTCTTAATCCGTCAAGGTTCTGATTCCGGAGTATTCGAGATATCCTCGAATCATCCATGGTCGTGTGGACGACGCCGCATGCAGTCGGAGCGTCTGGTAGTGTACGGATGCTTGAGAGCAGGCCATACCCGCTACACAGGCTAATTACTCCTGTCCGAGATGTTTAGATTACCATCGTGGCTGGCCGTCTGGGTGATTCGTTCTACGTGCTAACGCCCTTGACCTGCAAACTTTGGTGCGGTGAACTCATTCACAGCTTCGCACAGCCCAGACTGGTTTCACCAGGCGCCATCATGGCGGGTTTGGCTGTGAGGGTCCCCTGGTTTGACTAGCAAGAACATGGCTTTACACTGCAGACCAAGCCTACGTTCAACTCTTTCAAGACTGACTCAATTGCACCTTCTCGGGTGATCACTGCCGTTCAACTGACCAGAACGACCATGCTGGTCTAGACAAAACACCTCACACGGCACACTCGACCTAGCTCCTCACCCCCGGTCCAAGCGACTGCTCAACCTCCTGTAAATGCATGCGATCCAATGCCCAGCCTCACCCAGCTTGATATCCCAAATGCTACCCAACGCCGCGCATGGCCACAAAAAGAAAACCGCAACCCGGACGAGGCAGGGGGTGCCCGTGCTACGACATCCACTCCGAGTGCAAAACATCATCATCAACGGCCCTACCTTCTTCCTCTGAGCTCCCCAGCCCTTCTACTAGTCAATCCCACAGGCCCCCGTCCTGGCTCCCTTGTTCTCTTCGCACATGCCCAATCTCCTTCTTATCGGGCTGCTTCCCCCATGCTCTCATATGGCTCGACGTCTGACACGGTCTCGTCACTCCCGCCGGCCTCGGACCAGCTCTGCACTTCCGACGTCTCGACCTCCTCGGTGGGCGATCGCTGGCGGCCGGGCGGTGTCGGTGCCGTTCCAAAGTCGAAGCTCTTCTCCAAGACCCGATCATTTCGGACCTCACCCGCCGCCGCAGACCGCAGCAACGCCGTGTTGAAGTAGCTCTGGCTCTTGGCTGAGCGCTTGAGCCTCGGCTTGCGCACGAGCACGGGGGATGTGCTGCCGCCGCCGCCGTGCCGCGCGCGCATCTCGAGCCGCTCCTCCTCCTCCGTCTCTTCGTCCGTGAGAACGTTTTCCAGCATCATGCGACGGTGGTGCGCCAAGAGCTGGAGGCTGCTGCCCGAGGACCGGCGTTGGCGAGGGGGTTTCTGGGCGACGCCCGTATACACGTCGAGAGACAGCGTCTGACTGTCGCCCTGGCGGGTAGGGAGCGCGTGGAAAGGCCAAGGTGGGGGCACGACCAGGCCGGTGGCGAGGCGGCGCAGGTCGACCTGGCTGGCGGAGAAGACCACGCGGGCTCGCAGACGGTGGACGGCATGATCGAGGCCCAGCTCAATGGCACATCGGTCTCTTATCCTGCTGAGCTTTGGCCATGTAGCCCGCTCGCCGAGAAGGCACACACGTATCATGAAATCGCTGGTAGGGTTGCTGAGAAGGCCGGGCAGCTCATTCATGCTGATCTCGGGAAGAATATTGATGTCGCCCGAGTACTTCTGGCTGAGGACGCTTCGAAGCTTGGTGGCGAGGTTGGGAAAGAAACCAATCTCGGCGAGGAACTGCAGCCTATGCAGAGCCTCGTCTTTGGCGAGCGCGGTCATGGTATAAACCCAGTCGGCGCCGTCTTTGGCGGCTGTGGATGTGGCCGCGTTGTTGGCCTGACGGCGGAGGTGCGGCGTCGTGGGATCGAGCCGATCATCTTTGGCGAGGAAGGGAACGACATGCGGGTTGACTTGGGAGACGATGAAGTGATTGACGTTGAACATTTCGGCGAGGCGCGTCATGGGCAAGTCGTTATCGACGGAGCCGTCGATCCATCTTTGCGGCGTCGGGTTCCAGGGCATGTGGGCACCCGTGTCGGGAACCTTGACGAGCAAGGGAGCGGCACTGAAGACCAGTGGCACGGAGCATGAGGCGGCGACGGCCGACCAGATCATGACGTTGGGAGCCGTGACATAGTTGAGCAGGCGCGGCAGTTCGTAGATGGACTCGGTGGACACGCAAATGTTAAGGATGCGCCGCGTGCGGTTGTAGGCTTCCTGGAAGGTCATGTCGCCGAGCAAGTCGCGCATGACGCGGGTGAGATGAGAGATATCTGACCAACTGCCCTCGGTCAGGAGCCTGCGAATATGATCGAGAACGGTGTCGGGCTTCTCGAGACCATCAAAGACGTTGAGATCGCCGTAGGGGAATGCTCGGATGACGTCGGGAATCTCCTCATCCGTTCGTGTGCACATGACGGCACAGACGATGGAGCCGGCCGAGGCGCCAGAGATGATGCGCGGCAGCAGCTTCACCTCGAACAGGGCCTTGAGCACACCAATGTGCGCCATGCCAAAGGTAGCACCGCCGCTGAGCAGGAGAGCGCTACGGCCGAAACTCTGGCGCGCGAGCAACACGTTCTCGAGGATGTCGCGCTGCGAGAGGCCGTCAGGGAGCGCGCGGTGGCTCATGTCGACGAGGGCCTCGATGGTCTGCAAGGCGGAGGCGACGTAGCGCTCAATCAGGTGCTTTGTGCCGACGTACGAGTGTCGGTAGAGGTCGACGTTGCCCATGCCGCCGAGATCGCGGGCGAGGGCAGTGCGCACGAGGTAGAGCATGGCACGCACATCGCAGTTGACGCGAGCGTCGTCGAGATCCTTGAGGCGGGCCTCGATCAGCTGGGGGTTGTAGTCGGGTGTCGAAGGGTCGAGTTGCAGCTTCCACTGGTCGTTGCGCTCAAGCAGGTCGAGTTCCTCAGCGGCATCCTGCCATTGGGTTCTGGACTCTGCGTTCTGCATGCGCAAGCAGAGGATCTGGCGGCGCTCCTCGACTTTGGAACGGTGCGCGCGCTCTTGTTGCGTCAAGCCATCTCGCCAAGACTGCACGTAGGCGTTTGCAGATTTCAAGGCACGCGAGAGGGTGTCGAGGGCGAGGTGCTCGGGTGGTTGTCTGGCGGCGGCCGCGTGCTTCTTCCCACGGAGGGCAGGGTTATTTGTTGTAGGGTGGACATGATTCAGCAAGACGTCCTTCATGGTCGAGGAGGGCGCTGCAGAGAACGAGGACGAAGGCGCGAGCAACGGGACGAGGTTGCGACGTGGCTCAGAAGCAGTCTCATCCCCAGAGGCGTGCAGCAAAGAATGTGGGAGGGGCCGAGGTTGGGAGTCAAGGACGTGTTTGATGGCAGGCTGTAGGAGTGTCGGATGCTCGTGAGGAAGAAGAGGGGAGAAATCCTTGGATTAATTACTGTAGGTAAGGTACCTTACGAAGAGTGCTGGTAGTCGAGGAAGATTCAGGCAGGAAGGACAGATGGTGGTCAGATCAGGTTAAGGGTGAAGGGCAGGAGGGGCCGGCTTTGAAGGTAAGGTACCTTTATGGTAGGCAGGTGCCTTAAACCTAAGCTAAGCACATGTCATGAGGTCGCGAGAGATGTCGGTGTGCACGGAGCTAAGGCCGCGGGCGGACAGGCGAGTCCTGTCAGGGGTCGGGGCAGGTGAACATGACCTCGCGCTTGCCCTCTGCGGGTCACCAGGCAAAGACAGGGAAGCCAGGCAAGCCAGGCAAGGCACATCGTTGCTGCTGTGCGACCCCTCCAAAGCACCCCACAGGGCATCTGCCCACCCCATCCGCGCCGGCATTTCATGCCAGATGACCCCCAGGTTTTCGTCTCGCCCAGCCAATGGGCCGCCCCTGCTGCTGTTCCAGTGATCCAGTGATGTTCATCCCAGCGACCCGACTGCTCAGTGCGGCTGGTGCCTCCAACGAACCCCCCAGTGATTCGGCTGCCCCACGCTCCAACTCCCCCCCCCCCCACACACGACGAGCCCGATGATCGCTGATCGCTGGTTGCTGACGTTTGGCATTTCGCATCTGGCATCTGGCATCTGGCATCTGGCATCTGGCATCTGGCATCTGGCATCTGGCATCTGGCATCTGGCAGCTGAATGTGCCGAGACCTGTTTGCGTCAGTCTGAAGCTGTCGGTGAGGTACAGTCATCCCGGCCGATGACAAGGTCACCAGAACGCACCAAACATGCGATTGTACGCGGATACGATCCAGGGTGTCCATCACAGACACTTTTGATGATTCTTGACATGATGCTGATATTCGTGCATCATGCGCCAATGCATGGAAGCTCCTCACAACTGGACTGCTGCACCTGCATCATCCTCTGAGCCACACATTGTCATCCTCATTAGTCATAGGTAGATATCGCTGCCTCCCTCCGAGGGCACGGCACGATCACGTCGCCTTCAGCAGCCCCCGCGCAAACTCGTCCACCGCCCCGACCAGCGCAGACAGCGTCCCCTCCTCCTGCCAAGTGTGCCCCGCCCCCGTGACCTCGACGCCGCGAAACTTGGACCCGGGCCTCGCCTCGAGCCGGGCGCCCCACGCCCGCAGCTTGCCGACGGCGACGAAGCCGTCTCGGTCCCCAAACACGGCGAGCGTCGGGCACGTCGCGAGCTTGGCCTCGGCCGCCTCCCCGGCGTCTTCAATCCAGTTGACGTCCGCCGCCGGCGACGGCGACGCCGACTCGTGGCCGCGGTGCCGCGCCCAGGGCGGCACGAACGACATGGTCGTCAGGTGGTTGGCGATGCCCTGCAGCGGCGACACGAGCGCGTACGCCGGCCTGACGCTCGTCAGGTCGGCAATCCGAGGCAGCAGGACCGCCTGCTCGTCGCTGCTGTGGCTGTGGCTGTGGCTGTGGCTGTGGCTGTGGCCATGCTGATGCCCATGGTCACGCCCGGCGTGGTGCTTCTTGGGACTGCCGGCCTCGTCGCCGCCGACGGCAGCGGCCTCGGCGCTCCGCTGGCGGCTGTGTCAGAGCGTAACGTCGACCACGTCTTGTAAGTTAACCTTCCCGAGGGAAAAATACGGAGAGTTGGAGGATTAGATATACAACCATATATACGCATCGCTGTCTAGAACTACTGAGGAAGGTCGGTAGGGACGGGGGCGGCGCAGCGGAGATGAAATGAGTGTGTCGATAAAATATATTATTTT